GAATCTCTCACCGTAGACCTTGAGCTGGAGCTGCAGCACCTCCTCCTCGGGCCCTTTGCTCACCACGTACTCGTAGAGCTGCCCGTCCCCCCGGCTCGTGTTGAGGATTTCCAGGGAAAAGTCGGAGCCGTGGAAGCGGATTTGCCCCTGGAAGTGGTTGGTGCAATTGCCCCCCGAGTACTTGACCAGGACTTGCTTCCTGGGGAACGGCCCCCAACGCTTCCAAGAGGATTCCCGGAATTCCCTGGTGAGTTCCCGGAGCCTGGGGGGGATCCTCAGGATCGTGGCCTTTCCCAAGGTGCCCGGCACTGTCTCGGTCTCCCCGTGGTGGATTCCTGGGGGGAGAGGGGGGAGAAGGGATGAGGCAGAGGGAGACTCACACCGACCATCCCCCTCCCCATCCCGGCCCTGCCAGAGGAGGGAGAATCCTCCGGAATCCTCAGGGATCAAAGTCAGAAATGTCACTGGATCTACCCTGGAGGGAGAATCCTCCAGGATCCTCAAGGATCAAAGCCTGAAATGTCACTGGAAGATCCTCCAGAATCCTCAGGGATCAAAGCCTGAAATGTCACTGGAGAATCCTCCAGAATCCCCAAAGAATCAAAGTCAGAAATGTCACTGGAAAATCCTCTGGAATCCTCAAGGATCAAAGCCAGGAATGTCACTGGAGAATCCTCCAGAATCCTCAGGGATCGAAGCCAGAAACATCACTGGAGAATCCTCCAGAATCCCCAAGGATCAAAGCCAGAAATGTCCCTGGAGAATCCTCCAGGATCCTCAAAGGATCAAAGTCAGAAATGTCACTGGAGAATCCTCCAGGATCCTCAGGGATCAAAGCCAGAAATGTCCCTGGAGAATCCTCCAGAATCCCCAAGGATCCAAGTCAGAACCATCCCTGGACCCCCCCTGGTAATCCCCAGTCTGGGGCTGCAGGAGATCAACCAGTTGAAGATGTCACAGGTTCTTGAGCTGCATTTCCAGGCTCTCTGGGTTCTCCCCCCATCCCGGGTGGGTGGGAACACCAGTCTGGGTGTCCAGCACCCCCTGCCCACCCCACAGACCCCCAGGACCACGGGAGAGACCCCCCACCCTCGGCCCCACACCCCGAACCCCGAGGGATGTGGGTCGAGGGCTCGGTGCAGCCGCAGAGGAAACGCTGCCTCCTCCTCCTCTTCCTCCCCCTCCTCTTCCTCCCCCTCCTCTTCCTCCCCC